CAAATAAGTGACCCCGAGGGGTCAGTCCTTTCAGAGAGCTGGCCTTGTGCTTGGTTCCTGGAGTGGAGACGGCGTGGGTTCCAAATGAAAGAGAATGAGGTTTTCTGCCCCCTAGAGTCATATTCCATTACGTGCTAGTGGAAATGATGAGACACAAACACGCAGCATTGGGAATGATTAAAAGAAGTATATAGTGTTAAATCACATGGTGTTGTTTTTGGGTGCTGAAGGAATAATTCCGGAAAAGGGGGAGCAGTGAAGACTCGTTAATCAATGACAGTTTTAGGGATCAAGCAGAAATGGAGATAAGGCTAAAGACGCATGGGTCCCTTCTGCCCTATGATGGCACAGCACTCAAAGAAAGATCTGACTTTGGATCCCGTCTCCATCCCTCACTAATGTAACCTAACCTTTCAATGTCTTTCAGAATGGGGAAAATGGGGGAAAATGATTACGCCTACTTCATAGGGTTGCTTTAAGGATTAAGGTGATGTATGTCAACCTCTTTACGTACATCATGTAAAAAGCATCATGTCACTACATAGTAAGTGATCAGTAATGGATAGCTGTCACTATTTAATCAACCATTCCATTTATTGATAGAGCAAAAATTTGTTGCCTGGTTAATATGTATCAGGGACTGCCAGGCTTCCCACCTCAGTATCTTGAGTGCTGAGTCCCATGCTTTCCACTTACATACAAGACACTCATAACAGTAATAATAATAGCTGCAGTGTCCTAAGTGCTTATTTATGTGTCAGGCACTCTGCTAGCTGAGTCATTGTTAAATCGCCTCTAATCTTTATTCCCATTTTATGGAAGTAGGAATAGAGGGGCAGAGTATGCGAAATTTGTCTAGGATCACATGGAGAGTGTCAAGCCTGGAATATAAATTGTCTTCTTTTTCCTTTTCCATACTCTTATTACTGGTAGCCTAAACCCATTATGTCCCAAACTAATCTCGGCTTCCTCAAATAGGCTTTGTCTCAACCTCCCAATCAAGGTCACCACCATTCTAACTGTCACCCATGTCTTAAAGGCTGGAGACCTGTTCTTTATCCATCAAGTCCCTATATCTGGTTAATCACTAGGTTTTTAGTTCAAATGCATGTTTTCCTCTCATTTTCTCTTATCTTGGCCAAGCCCCCACTGACTTAGGCCTGGACTTGTTAGTTGTTCTCAGAATTTGTTCCATTGCCCGCTACATGAGAGGTGACATTTACTTAATACACTATCATGGAATTCACCAGAAATTTGATAAAACATTGTTGAGTTTTCCAAGAAGTAAAGCACAATAATGTGTTATTGCTGCAGTCAGTGGTAGAAGCTCGGGATGGGTTCACTGTAGTGATACATATAAGTAAGCTGCTGTGAGTACAGCCTTTCTCTCTCAGGAAAGTATATGGGGAGAAAATTGTGCTCTGCTCCATTTTAAAAGGTAAAGCTTTCCTCTTTAACAGATGGTATTAGGACGGTTGGATAGCCACATGCAAAAAAAATGAAGTTGGGCCCCTTTTTTATATAATATACAAAAATTAACTAAGGATAGATGAATGACTTATATATAGCAGCTAAAACCGTACAACTCTTAGAAGAAAACATAGAAGTAAATCTTCATGAACTTGGATTTGGCACTGGATTCTTTGATAGTATGCCAAAAGCATGAGCAACGAAAGAAAAAAATATAATGGACTTCATCTAAATTAAAAACTTTCGTGCCTCAAAAGACATTATCATTAAGTGAAAAAACAGCCTGTAGAAATGGAAGAAATATTTGCAAATCATCTATTTGTTAAGGGTCTAGTATCCAAAATATATAAAAAACTCTTATAACTCAAAACCAAAAGACAACAAATAGGCATTTCTCCAGAGAAGACATACAAGTGGCCAACAAGCCACTTGTCCGTCATCATTAATCATTAGGGAAATGGAATTCAAAATTACAATGAGATACCATTTCACATCCACTATTAAAAAGTAAAATGAAAAGTAAAATAAGTATGGTGAGGATGTAGAAAAATGGAGACCCTTATACATTGCTGGTGGGAATAAAAAATGATTCAACTACTGTGGAAAACAGTTTGGTGATTCTTCAAAAAGTTAAACATAGAATTACCATATAGCCTCATAATTCCACTCCTAGGTATTACCCTAAAGAAATGAAAATGGGTACTCAAATATGTGTTCATAGCAACACTATTCACAATAATCAAAAGATGGAAACAACCGAAATGTCTTATCAGTGGACATATGGATAAACAAATAGTGGCATATATATACAATAGAACATTATTCAGCCATAAAAAGGAATGAAATACTGATACAAACTACAATGTGGATGAACCTTGAAAACATGCTAAGTGCACTAACAGATGTGTCACATATGTGATTCCATTTATATGAAATATCCAGAATTGGTAAATCCACAGAGATAGAAAGCAGGGCCCAGGAGGAGGGGAGAATGGGGAATAGTTGCGTATTGGGTATGGGGTTTCCTTGTAAGGGTGATGAAAATATTTTGGGACTAGATAGAGGTGGCAGTTGTACAACATTGTGAATATACCAAATGCTGCTGAATTTTTCACTTTAAAATGGTGAATTTTATGTTACGTGAATTTCATCTCAATTAAAAAAACTCCAAAAAAAGTAAAGCTTTCACAAACTTTGTTACCATAATTATTAATAGTAATAATTGCTTGGTGGATACCAGTATTTCAGGTCACCATCATTGAGAATCATTGGCTGTAACCATCTGCCAGGATTAACAGCTGGCTTCACATTCCAGCCTCTCTTGGCTGATGGCAGAAGCCCGAGGCCAGGATTTCAAACTCAGGTGCCTACAGGAGCCCAACCTGTTGGGATAAATGTTTGAGGTTAGCTGGGTGCAAGGCAGCAGGGAGTAGTGGGGATTATGTGGGGCTGAACTGGACCTGCGCTATCTAAAGGCATTCAGATGCAGCCAAACTGACCTTGGGCTAATTTTTGCCTCATCTCACATCTTTTTGCCATCCCTCTTAAGCCATCTGACAGACTAGTCTATTTAAAAAATCATCTTCAGTGTGTCATTCAGTAGCTAAAAATCTATTTCCTGGAACAGAATCTAAACTTCTCTTGCGTCCCTTTCCAGCATAAAACTTGAGGAAGCGCAGCTGGTTCCATATATATCATGAAACTTTTATCCTCCTGCTCACTGTGTTCTGTCCCAGCCACATGAACGTTTGGGGTAGCAGGACTGAGCCCCACTGGCTATGTAAGGGGAAGAGTTCACTCTGAATCTTTGATTTAAGGGGGCACCTTAGAGAGAAATGGTCTGCAGCTGGTGGCCCACTGTTCCCTCGGGAGGGCACAGTGCGCTTTTTTAGTGTTACTTTCTTTTAGTGTCAGCGACCAGAGTGCGTATTTGTCCATCATCTCTGCCTGCAGAGAGGGGGATAGAGGCACAGAAGAATCTGGAAAGATTTTTGTTGTTAAATGAGATAGAGAAAGGTTCTTGTTTTTGTCTTATCTGCCCAGTCATTCAGAAGCCTGAACCCATTCTGAATGCTGGAAGCTGGGAGGGGAGGGGTGTGTCCGGGGACTTAGGGCCAGTGTGTGGAGGAAGGAGACTTAGTCCATTAAATCTAAGGAGTGGCTGGCACTGTTTTCTTTTCTGCCTCCAGCTCTGTAGCTACTTATAATCCCTTTTTACTGATGAATTTCTGAGAAGCACGTAGGACATAGAAATCTTTGGCCCATGTCCTTTTGATGTGATAACAATTCAGCAGATATTTGCTGTAGGGCAGGGCAGGAAAAGTACAGTTGTGCGACTTAAGGGACCAGCCTAAGAAGGCCCTTGCCCTAAAACCACCAACCCTCCCCTACTCCCCCTTTCCCTTTCCGAATGGCAGAGAGAATCTTTCTTCCTTCCATGAAATCCTGTCTGCAGAGCTCTGAATTCCAGGTTGTGGTTCGGTGTCTGGCCCACAAGAGGCTGTGCTTGCACAGGGCCTTCATAACCATCCTGCTTGGCTTCCACAGATCCAGGGAACTCACTAGTGCCCGCTCAGGAAGAGTTCCTTGGATTAGCTTACAGCCCTAGAGTCAGTGAGCATTTTTGCTCTTTTGGGAGAGAATGGCCCCCACAAGGGCACACTTATCACTGGAATCGTCTTGTACATGAGGTTGTGACCTCGGGTGCTGTCCTAGGAAAGCCGAGATGGCTCCCGCACTGTGGTGCTTTGGTGTTAGAACTTGGGGGACAGGGCCCAGAGCACAGCTAGTTCACTGCACTAGTTCCTCCTTCCTGGGCCATGTTCACAGAGAACATTGTGGGTGTGAACCTGTGTGTGACCTCTGACCCTGTCATCCACTTCTCAATGGGCAGGGGTGAGTTCCTGGATTAAGAGGAAATCTCTGTGCCCAGAATTGTGGGTTTTTTTTAAGAGCTTAAGTAAAGTAACTTGGATTGGTTCCGTGTTCAGACACACAAACCTTGAAACTCCAGCGTACACCTCCATTCTTTGTGGTCTGAGAGTGTTTATAGCCCAGGGGTGCCCTGGCCTACAGGAAGCACAAGTAGCCACTCTTCAGAAGGGTCAGCTGTGACCTCACACGCAGCTCCTTTCATAGGGCGTGAATGAGCCGTGTGGTATAAAGGGTAAGAGAGAAGGCTCTTGAGTCAGGCTGCCTGGGTTTAAGTCCTGGCTTATGAGTTGAATGGCCTTGGAAAATTTCTTTAATGGTGCTGTATCTCAGTTTCCTCATCTGTAAAACAGAGATGGCAATAGTACCTACCTTATAAGGCTGTTATGAGGGTTAGAGATAACGCCTGTAAAAGACTTAGCACAAAAACGGATGCATCGTAGGTGTTTAAGAATGAAGGCTTCTACCATCAGTCCATGGGAGCTGCGTGAGAGCCTGCAGGAGAGGACGAGCAGATAGCAGGAGGGCTCTGTATTCGGTGGTTTCCTTGTGATTAATGCAGACTCTCTGGTTTCTTTTGTATTCCTTTCCTTGCCCAGTATTGATCCTCCAGAAGGTGGAGAATGGAGACCTGAGTAACAAGGTTCTGAAGATCACTGATTTTGGCCTGGCCCGGGAATGGCACCGAACCACCAAGATGAGCGCAGCAGGGACGTATGCTTGGATGGCACCTGAAGTCATTCGTGCCTCTATGTTTTCCAAAGGCAGTGATGTATGGAGGTAAGGCTCAGAAGTGCAGGCTCAGTGTTCTTCAGATCTGTTTTGGTTGTACACACGCTTCAGGACTTGGAGAATTGAGGTTACGTCGAATCTCAGGCACCCTAAGTAGGTCTAAATGACCCCTTCAGAGCAATCTACACTAATTCCCATGTTGTCAGTCGACAGTTTCCAACGCCTTCATCTACCAGAAATTCCTCCACTGCTGTGGCAAATACGCATCTGTGGAGGTCCCTTTGTGTTGGTGATCGCTTCCTAGGAAAGATCAGTAGATTCCAGGGATAATGTGTACTCCCATCTCTGACTGTAGGGTGGTAAGGGTACTCAATTACTCCTGGAGACCTTCGCCAGGGTCACCCTGGCTTGCTTAGCAACAGTGGCTCTTACTGCTAGACTTGTCCTCACTGTAAGCTCCTGGGCTGATAAGTATTCTTTGTGCTATCTCTTTTTTCTTGGTGAGCTGGAAATTATCCTTTCCAGTTATCTGGATAACCTTTTAGTCAGTGCTCTGTCTATCTGTTGAATATTGATATAGAAACGGAAAAAGACAGTCTTCAAGCATGCACCCAGAACTGCACAGTCACAAATTAGACCCGCCATCCCCCTAGTAAATGTCAGCCCAAGAGGTCACAAGGACCTGGATCTAAAAATCTTGCCCCCACTGAAGGGAGAATGAGCATCTACAGTGTGTGCATCTTCATGGCTATGAGACAGCTGCATCACCTTGCTATACAAAGAAAGGACCATAGGTTATCGTTGTACTTCAGTCTGTGAAGTACATTGAGATATTATTCATATACCATAAAGTTTACCCTTTAAAAAGTATGTCAGTGGTTTTTAGTAAATTTACAAACTTTTATACCAATCACCATTGTTATTGGATTCCTAGGGCTGCTGAAATAAATTACCACAAACCTGGTGGCTTTAAACAATAGAAATTTATAGTCTGGAGGCCAGAAGTCTGAAATTAGCATCTGCAAGGCCACACTCTCTCCAGAGACTCTAGAAGAGATTCTATTCTAAATAAGGATTCTGGGTATTAAGACATGGACATAACTTTTTAGGGCCACTGTTCAACCCACTATAACCACTGTTTACAGAATATTTTTATTGCCCAAAAAAGAAACCTGCTACCTATGAGCAGTCGTTCCCTAATCTGCTCTGGCAGCCACTAACTTACTTTCTGTCTTTGTGAGTTTGGTTTTTCTGGATGTTTCATACAGATGGAATCATATAATATGTGGTCTTTTGTGGCTGACTTCTTTTATTTAGCATAATGTTTTCAAGATTTATCCACGTTGTAACATGCGTCAGAACTTCATTCCTTTTTATAGCTGAATAATATTCCATTTATAGATATGCCAACATTTGATTTATTGTTCATCAGTTAATGGACATCTGGGCTGTTTCTAGTTTTTGCCTATTATAAATTCAGTTACAATGAGCCATTACTTTCTCCTTATAACAGGCAACGTTATCAGTTCTCTTGGGTATGTACCTAGGAATAGAATCATGGGGTTACACGGTAATTCTATGTTTAACTTTTTGAGAAACCGTCAAACTGTTTTTCTCCTTGGCTGTACCGTTTTACATTCCCAGTAGCAGTGTATGAGGGTTTCAACTTCTCCACATCCTGTCAACACCAGTTATTGCCTGTCTTTTTGATTATAGCCATTCTAGTAGATATTAAGTGGTATTTCATTGTGGTTTTGATTTGTATTTCCCTAATGACTAATGATGATGAGCATCTTTTATGTGCTTATTGGCTGTTTTTATGTCTTCTCTGGGTAAATGTCTATTCAAATTCTGTCTCTGTTCCATTTCGAATTGATTTTTGTATGTGGTGTGAGGTAGGGGCTCTAACTTCATTCTTTTGCATATGGCTATCTAGTCATCCCAGCACCATTTGTTGAAAAGGCTGTTCTTTACTAATTGAATTGTCCTGTCACCCTGGTCAAAAGCAATTTACCACAAATGTAATGGTATACTTCTGGACTCTCAGTTCTATTCCATTGATCTTTGTGTCTACCTTATACCAGTACCACCCTGTTTTAATTCCTGTGGTTTTATAGCAACTGTTGAAATTAAGAAATGAGTTTTCCAAGTTTGTTCTTCTTTTTAAAGATTATTTTGGCTATTCTGGGTTTCTGGCATTTCCATATGAATTTTAGGATCATTTTGTCAATCCCTGCAAAATAGGCAGCTAGGATTTAGATAGAGATTATATTAAATCTGTAAATCACTTTGGAGAGTATTACTATCTTAATATTAAGTCTTTCAATCCATGAACATGGGATATCTTTTCATTTATTTAGGCCTCCTTTAATTTCTTCCAATGATGTTTTGTAGCTTCTGTACATTGAATTTTATTTCATTAAACCTTAATTACGGGGTGAAGTAGCTATTGTAAAGAAAGAGTTTTTCTTTACTTAAAATATCTGACTAGATCTCATTAGATTGACCTGTATACTGATACTCAACTGTTTTTGACCTAAAAAAGAAATCCAGCAATTTTATATGCTTCAGCCTAATATTTTCATTGCTTGACCATAGGCTAATGAGATTAGTTAATATATTAACTAAGCTAAGCTACTATTACAAAGAGCTTACAGATGTGGTGGCTTAGTGGCAGCTTAAATAACATAGAAGCATATTTCTTTTTTAACACATAATCCTGCCAGTCCAGGCTGGTGGGGCAGCTGTACCCTATGAGATTATTCAGAAACTCAGGTTCTTTCAGGGTCCCTAAATTG